TTCAGACATTTCTTACTCTAGAAAGGCTCAAGACCTTATAGTTCGCATATTTTGTCCACTATTACTGATGTAATAGTAGCGATCACTGATTTTGAAAGATGCTGGGTCGTTTTCTTGTATTTCAAGGTCTCTGACCATTTTTCTTCTTGTTAAGTTACATTTTATTGTCTGCCGAATTACATCATCGTTAATATTGGAGTCAGATTAGGAAATGGTGATAAATATATATTAATAATTATAAAACAAGTGTATGATAATTGATAACATTCGCATGAGTCACTATGATGTGACATTATGTACATAGAAGTTGTTTTTACTGAGCAATAATTGAAAATAAATACTGTATGACTTCATCTATTTTTATGAAGAATAAGTATATCTTGGGATGAATGAGAGTGGTGGTAACACGTCATTTTCTTATTCTGTCACCAAACTATAGGAAAAATATCACATTTTCGTTAGACAGTGTAGCGGCTTAAAAATATTACACATACGTTTGGAAAAATACGGTTAGATCGACACAAATAGAATTCGCGTCCTTAATAACACTACGGCGTCTGAAATTTGACTACCTACAGTTCGCTACGTAAAATATTACAAAATTAGTACTCTATTCACTGATACAAGAGGTAAAGAGTCTCCGGTCGTTATTATGTCTTCACATGTATTGCAATAGGTTTCGCCTATAAACGAGGTATCTTTAGGTAAATAAAAGATTGGGGTTTGGCGGCCTGATGTAGACCATTCGGCATCCTGCGATAAAATAATCCAATAACCAGTGATCGACGTCCACGATATCGTTGTATTGTGCATGTCCACGTGTTGTGGACGATTTAAAGCATCTCTTACTATCGTATCGTACTTACAATTATGACGAGTGACGTCCACCCAATGCTGCTTCGTACGGATTATTTGAAAATAAAATGCAGCTCATGAATTGTATTTTATTAAAAAAAAAAAAAAAAAACTTAACCAATTTTAAAAATTGTTTATCATTGTGATGCATAATAGTTCACATTCCTATTTTTAAAATGTATAGAGGATATTACGGCATCTCCAAAATTTATTTTATATAATTAAGATAAGGGTAGGAAGATGATACAGGATGTATATTAACTAGTTACTAAGAAAAAAAAAATCCATGGATTGTGTTATTGATTGTGTTAACATATACTTCTTTATACATAACAAGCGACCCATACCTGCTTCGTACGGATTATTTGAAAATAAAATGCAGCTCATGAACTGTGTTTAAAAGAAAATACTTAACCGACTTTAAAAATTGTTTATCCTATAGAAGACCTATGTTCAGCAGTAAAGAGCTATTATATGTTCACTGCAGACCTTTTCTAAACACTGACATAAGGAACGGTTTAGATCCACCCTCCATTAACTGACTCCCTGTAATGCATTTGAGGTCATCACTCCATCTAGTGGGAGAGTCATCCTACACTGCATTCACCCATATGGGGTCGCGACTCAAGAACTTTTCGACTTCCTTCGAGCTATGTGACCAGTCTATCCATGAGTTTATCCATTACAAATAAAAAAAATCCTTTCCTTTCTATAACATTAGATTGTCAGTATTGCGTTTTTACATCTAAATTTTGCTTTATAATAGTCTGTTTATGCTCTGCAAAGAAAAATGACAGTTTCAATGATCAGAAGGTGAAAATAGGACTAAAACGGTAGTAAACTCTATGGATCGTTAAAAGGAATTATTAAGATCGATTTAGAACGGGCCATGTAATCTTCGGGTAATGGTGTTTTAAAAATACAGAATGATTGAGAAACTCCCTTGGGAAGGCGTAAAAATATTTAAACCTTGTTTTAAACCTCTAATCTCTTTTGCGTAGAATTATTGTTCTCGGTGCAAATTCCCTTGTTATTCGCCTCTGTACATTACGATCGGCTTTAGTGACTCGTGTTTGGCCGTCAGATGGCCTTGTCCCATTAAGAGCATACAAAAAACATTACTTGCACACCTTGGATATTCCTATTTTATATCTCTATTGTATGTTAATTTTTTTTGTATCATCCTACTGTGAATAAATATAGTATTGCTATAATTATACTTGTTAATATGAAAGTTTGTAAATGCTGTTAATTACTTTTGATTGAAATTTGCTACATTGATAGACTATATTTATCCTGGATTAATGCAAAGGTTTAAAACATCTCCAAAACTTAACTGCGGTTGTCAATCCGCCCGCCAAGCGTGGCAACTATTGGCAAAACTCGCCAAAGAAGAGGCTATGTTCAGCAGTGGACGGTTGGGAGCTGGTATGATGATGAATGCAAAGGGTACATTATTTTTAATTCACGTGGACGAAGCATATTAACATTACCTGTTAAGTATGAATTAGGAGACATTAAAATGTCTAAAACTATAGTTGTATTAAGTGTTTACAGATTTTTATTAAGTTTTTGTTCAAAATTAAGAAATAACTAGCAGATTTTTCTTCTGTAAAATATCCTAGATATTAAATGATTTTGTAATATAACGCTTGTCGGATGAGCTACCATTTTTACGGTCATGTTATAGAAAGAAGCTTCCTGTTGAGGTTTTATCAATATGGGATTCTTCATATAAGGTTCATATTTGGCTACGTACACGTAATTATTTTGGTCATCAGGGTATGATGTGCTTTTTTCCACCTCTTGTAGATTTTTCCTGAGTTACTTTCAAAACAGCGTATTAAGGTTTCTTTAGTGTCGTCAACACGCACGTGACGCCCCTGGTGTTGCAGGCGCTCGTAGGCTACAATGGTCATTTACCATGAAACTGACTGTATTCTTATTTGCCACCATTGTACTATAAAAAAAATAACGTAGTTGTGTACTAGAAGAAGTGTGTTAGTCACAATGCCGTTATCTATAGAACGATTGGACACGATAGTGAAAAATAAAACTGCAATTACTCTGTCATAAATATGCCGAGATACCGTGATAACGACGGATTAACCAGTCCACGAGCATTTTGTTGACTGCAGTGTTATCCGCTGAATGTAAGTCGGTCACGTTTTCGCGCCGAATATTCGAATTCAACGTTGTAAGGGAAGTTCGATGTAAAGTATTATCCGTATTTTGGATTATATATAACATTTTTTTTTTACTTGGCACAATTAGTAAACAATCATGGCGGGATGATTTTTATATTGAAATTATTTTAGTTTTTGGCCACAAGTATGACAAATTAGGTAGGTAAGTTTTAAGCAATAAAATGTGTATAGCGTCTATATACTTGATAGGTGATAATGGAATGTTAGCCCTGTTTGCGTATACGGAATACGTTGGCAGGACACCAGTGAGGGATGATACGTGAGAACGAAAAAAGCAGATCAGTTAGCTTATCGTCATGAATACATCTGGAATTCTGCACGATAGTTTCCGATAAGATCACGTGTAGGTCGACCTGACAGGGTATATTGCTAGCAATGGGATTGGTAGCCCCCGCATAACTAACAATCCCATCCCCTCTGCCCCGATTTGCCATTAGTGGCAGGCGGGTTGGCAACCAAAGTTAGGCTTTTATATTATAGTCTTCAGCATTTATTTTTATATAAAATGGGGTAGTTACTTTGGTGAATATAACTTTCGATATTTCTACATTTTGCGTATTTTTTTTAATGGATATAAATGAAATGGCTACTCCGCCTGCGCTATCGGTATACGCCGATGGGGTATCAGTAAGATAGATTTAATTGATGAGGATGAAAGTAGGTCAATTGACCTATTTAACACTCACAAATTTTATAAGAATTTACCACGATGGTTTCCAGGAGGGATCGCGTGTAAGTCGACCTAATAGAGTATATTACTAGCAATGGGGTTCATTATTTACCCCATTAATTCTTCCTTCTCCCCTATTATCATTCCATAGATACATGCCGGTATTATTAAATTGTGCCAAGTATATAAAATCAAACTATGGAATATTGACATACCAATTTTACCGATTTGTCTTCTGCTTATTTTGAACTTCAGATCAACAAAAAAAATAACATTAAATCCGTGTTAAAACCAAGTAAATTATATTATACGTTATTAGTAACGCGTATATTTATATCAAAACATACTCGTCATTTATTTGTTATACTCTTTCTGACTACTCAGTCGCATATGATGTTTCTATCCATAGTCCAGCGATTGTATTTATAAACGTATTATATCTATGTTAATCACTGAGATTGGGTGGAACTTTAAAATCATAATGCAAACGCACAAGTGCATGGTTTTAAAATTTTTAATAATATCTTGAAATAGCGAAGCTCGCCAGGTTTATTGTAATATTGTGTGGAAGGATGCCATTTTTTTTTGTCCATAATATCGATATGAATTTCTTAGGTGATTACTAATGTTGTTTTTATCCAAACTGTATTAGCTGTACCTAAATTAGAAATTGGACATTTGAAAATTGTTGATGCACATTAATTCCTCTAACCCAAAGGTGGGCATAGCAGATAAATAGTATATTTTACAAATAAGTTCAGTAAAGCCTTAAAAAGTAAAAAAAAAAAATATATAAGTACGTATTTCCCGTAATTCCCACGGTCGCCGTTTTACAAAAGGTCGCGACACACGGCTACTATATTTCCCAACATTGTATTATTAGGCGTAATCCAACGCTTGACATGTTTTGTAACATTTATTATATAATAACGTGTCGTGTGATAGCCTTGAAATATAAATGATTCCAAACTCGGACGTGTATGTTAATTTGATGTTTCATAACTTGTGAAATACCTGTTCATCGCGTTTAAGCTCATGACACGGTACGCAGCGGTGGCGAACAAAAGCTTTAATCCGTCATTGATTTATTTACGTTCTATTAGATGATACTTTGGACTTTGTTCGCCCATAATTATTTTTATCGTCCCACGGGAAAGTTATTGATTGACCAAGATGAAATTAAGGGATCTTCTTTCATATCCTACATAAATTTGAAAAAGCAAATAATTTAAATTATGTATGCTTACAATGTTTGTTTATTGTTCCAGGTCTCGACGACCAAGCGACAATCTTGCCACATTATGAGAGTGCATCTTACATGTTTATGATCAACATAATAATAAAGAAATAATACACGCAGCCCGGAAAACAATCTATTATGGCTTTTCTGTAAGTATAACTGAATGTTGAAGTCTCGATGTTTTTTGTTAATCCAATATTTTACTTTATCGTTGCGCTACCACGTTCACTCCCTCGTTACGAACAGCATGCCAAGTTTTAATTTTTTTTTATACCCCTTTGATGATGCTGAGGCTTTCGTCGGCGTGTGACTTGTATCAGTACACTGACCGCGTCGAGGTCGCCTGTGACCGATCTTTCACGGTACTAACCCATTTTTTTAAACGACTGTTTGAAACTATTTATAGTATAAATTTGTGTACTCTGATTAAAAAATAGGTTAGTACTGGAACCGCTTAGCTGTTAAGAACGGTCATTGCGCGTCGCTTCAGCTCGCGTATTCGCTCCGATCGCACTGGACCTCTCCGTGTCTTTGCGTTAAAACGTGCGCACCGCGAATTGCAAGCGCTCGATTTGTAGTAGATGTAGGTTTTTAATCGTCTGCAGGGATATGACATAGGTCAACGTATGACGTAGGTGATTAACAGGCGGCGGAACGGTGCGGTGCGATGGGAACGAACCGTCGACGGCGGCGGCGGCCGACGGACGGGCGCAGACGGTGCGCCTGAGTGGATGTGTCGCGTTGCAGATGTACGGAGCGCACTGGTGCTACTGGTCCGGTGGGCGGGCGACGGCGCGCGCGGTAGAGTGCCGGCCACATGCCCGCGCGCCATGTGGCGCGTGCTGCTGGCCCTGGGGGCCGCGTGCGCCGCCGCGCGCGCCTCGCAGGACGTGGTACGCAACTTCACCGACCCGGTGCAAGCACCGACTTCCCTCTTCAATCACCTGGTCGTCGACCGCAACACAGGTCGTGTCTACGTCGGCGCTGTCAACAGGATTTACCAGCTCTCTCCCGACCTAGAGGTCGCTCAGTCGATCGTCACGGGACCAGTCAACGACTCCGCTCTTTGCACCTTCGATTGCCCCGCAACATATGTGAAGAAGCCCACGGACAATGTGAACAAAGCTCTCGTGATAGACTACGCTACCAGCCGTCTTATATCATGCGGTTCAGTGATGCAGGGACTATGTTCAGTGCGGAATTTAAATAACATTTCTCACGATGTGCACGAAATACGCGAACCAGTTGTGGCTAATAATGCGACAGCATCAACAGTGGCGTTCATTGCGCCGGGACCTCCGAATCCGCCGATGACGCAAGTTATGTATGTAGGCGTCACGTTCACAGGCAACTCACCCTATAGATCTGAAGTTCCTACTGTGAGCAGTCGATCATTGGAGGATGAACGGTTGTTTATGATAGCTAGGACGGCAGTTACGACTGGAACTAGAATGTTTGTAAATTCGCTATCTCGTGAGCGTTATCCTATTAATTATGTTTACGGATTTAGTTCTGAAGGATTTAGCTATTTCCTGACTACTCAGTTGAGAGCTGTGGGATCTGATACGTATTATAGCAAGTTAGTACGTGTTTGTCATGATGATGAGAACTATTATTCATATACTGAAATTCCTATGTCATGTACAGGGGAAGGTGGAAAAAATTATGGTTATAACCTAGTCCAGGCTGCTTTTGTAGGAAAACCAGGATCAGTTCTTGCAGGAGAGCTTGGAATAACTGCTCAACATGACGTTTTGTTTGCTGCGTTCAGTCAAAGTGAAACTATAAACACAAATACGCCTTCAGATTTATCAGCTTTGTGTGTGTATTCTCTAAAAGCCATCCGCCGAAAATTCATGCAAAATATTAAGACTTGCTTTAGTGGTAACGGCTCCCGAGGTCTAGATTTCATTTCACCATCTCATGCTTGTATTAGCACAAAATTGCAGTCTATAAGCGAAGACTTCTGTGGATTAGACGTGAATACCCCTCTCGGCGGTGAACAGCCTGTAGAAGCAGTACCAGTAGCTACATTTAAAAAGAGGCTGACTGCTGTGGCTGCTACAGCTACTGGAGACTATACTGTTGTCTTTGCGGGAACATCTCAAGGACATTTAAAGAAGATCGTTGTCGAGAGTGCCACCTCAGCATTTGAATATGGAGATATAGTAGTTGATGAGGGATCTCCTGTGAATAAAGACTTATTCTTTGATACACAATTAATGCATTTGTATGTTATGACTGAACGTAAGGTATCAAAGGTGAAAGTACAAGAATGTAGTGTCTATAAATCATGTTTAACATGTCTTGGAGCCAAAGACCCATACTGTGGATGGTGTTCTCTAGAAAATAAGTGTAGCTTACGATCGGACTGTCAAGATGCAGCTAAAGATCCCTTATACTGGATCTCCTACCGTAGTGGTCGTTGCACTACAATCACCCAAGTGACACCAAATCAATTGCAACGAACGACAGCTAGAACGTTAGATTTACTTATTGAAAATTTACCTACTCTTAATGGACAATTCTTATGTGCATTTACAGCTTTAGATCGTACGTTAATAACTAATGCAACTAGAAAACCTTATGGGGTTAATTGTACTACTCCACGAACCGATACCCTCCCACCAATACCTGCTGGTCAACATCATTTCACAGCTAAATTGTCGGTACGGACTACACAGGGACCTGATTTTGTAGCTACAAATTTTACGTTTTTCGATTGTAACACATATAGCTCTTGCACACAGTGCGTTAGTTCCTCGTTTCCCTGTGACTGGTGCGTTGACGGCCATCGTTGCACCCATGATACTGCTGAAAATTGTAGGAATGATATTTTAGTTACTGGCGTCAGCAGGATAGGTCCCAGTTATCGTTCAGGTCCTGGTTTCTGTCCCACTATAAACTCCACATCAGACGGCACGAACGAAATTTTAGTTCCATCTGGCGTTAAGAAAGCTATTAAAGTTAAGGTACATATTATTGGGCAATTTATTGTTCAAACAAGATTCGTTTGTCAATTCAATATTGAGGGTCGTGTTACTCATGTCAATGCTCAACTTTTAGCTGATACTATTTATTGCGAAGCTGTTGAATTTACTTATACGTCTCGCGCTCCAAATATTACTGCGTCATTCGCTGTCATATGGGGAGGGTCAAAGCCTTTAGATAACCCGGATAACACTCACATACTTATTTATCGATGTAATGATATGGCTGATAATTGCGGTATGTGTCTTGCTTTACCCGAAAAGTTTGGATGTGGTTGGTGTCAAGGGTCGGATCGCTGTGAAGTTCAGGAGCAGTGCGCTGTCCCAAGTGTTTGGTTAAATCGTACTCAAACCTGCCCTAATCCAGAAATATATTCTTTCCAACCAGAGCTAGGCCCTTGGGATGGGGGTACTAATATTACAATTGAGGGTATCAACTTAGGTCGCAATATTTCCGATATCTACAACGGTGTTACTATAGCGGGAATTAAATGTCAACCTATAATAGAATTATATGTGAAAACTAGGCGTATCGTTTGTACTGTAGATGGTCCCGGTGAGGAGGTACCTCGAGACGGCCCTGTGGTAGTTCGGGTTGCTGATTATCGCGGAGAGTCTAAACGTCATTATGCGTTTGTAAATCCAAAAATTAATTCTATTCACCCTAAATATGGCCCACAATCTGGTGGCACAATATTGCATATCAAAGGCGAATATCTCAACGCAGGTAGTAATATTCAGGCTTTCATTGATGAATTACCATGTCCAATATTAAACGTATCAAATGAATTGGCAGTCTGTAGAACTAGTCATTCATATCAACTTAAAATGGGTACATTACGCATGCATTTTGATACGGGGGTACGCACTTTAGAGCGCGAAAAGTTTGAATATATTGAAGATCCTGTAGTTGATTCTGTAGAATCTGGGCCACCACTTGCAACTCAACGCAAGCAACCTAAAGGCATTCCATCAGGTGGCATAAAAATTAAAGTTATTGGTCGAAATTTCCACTCTATTCAGTCCCCTCAAATATATGTATACCATGACAATCGACCATATATTGGTCCGTGCAGCAGGGTTGAATATCAGTACCAAACCCAACTTATTTGCGAATCTCCTGGTATAGAAAGTGCTGGCCTAAATCTAGATCCGGACAAGCCTTTAGAATTGGAATATGGTTTCAACATGGACGATGTACAAAGTGTAAAGAACCTTTCCAGTAAGACGGGTAATGCATTTTTGCTTTATCCAGATCCGATATACGAGAAATTTGATGAGGACGTTAAATATTATAAGTCTGAATATCTAACTATAAATGGTCAGAATTTAGATAGAGCTGCTACTGAAAGCGACGTGGAAGTCCACATAGGGGATAGTTTATGTAATGTTACGTCACTCGCGAGACATCAATTGACTTGTCGACCACCATCACGAGACGAGTTACCCGATGGTGTTGACACACCCGAGGTGGTAGTTAAAGTAGGCCGTGCCGATCCCTATAATATAGGTAAATTATCATATTCGTCTCAAGCTGGCCTGCAATCACCTATTAGCAAGCCAGTATTAGTTGGCGTCATCGCCAGTATAGTGATACTCTTATTAGTATTTATCGTATTTTTAATTATGTATAGGAGAAAATCTACTGAAAATATTAGGGTATTGAAGAATATGCAGGAGCAAATGGATATTCTAGAATTAAGAGTAGCTGCTGAATGCAAAGAGGCGTTTGCGGAGCTGCAGACTGAAATGACCGACTTGACAGGTGACGTGACGGGCGGTATACCATTCCTTGATTATCGTACGTACGCTATGAAAATATTATTCCCCAACATAGACGATCATGCCGTCCTACAGTGGGAGCGCCCAGAGCTTATTAGAAAAGACAAAGGTCTCAGAATGTTTGGGCAACTTATTATGAACAAAACATTCCTTTTATTATTTATTCGTACTTTAGAAAGCAATAGATATTTTTCAATGCGCGATCGTGTTAATGTAGCTTCTCTTATTATGGTTACTTTGCAAAGTAAGATGGAATATTGCACTGATGTATTAAAAACTTTGTTAGCAGAGCTAATAGAAAAATGTATGGAAGGAAAGAGCCACCCCAAATTGCTATTACGACGAACTGAAAGTGTCGCTGAAAAAATGTTAAGTGCTTGGTTTACTTTTCTGTTGTATAAATTCCTACGCGAATGCGCTGGTGAACCGCTTTATCTTTTGTTTAGGTCGATGAAAGGTCAGGTCGATAAAGGTCCTGTAGACGCAATTACTTCAGAAGCTAGGTATTCTCTTAGCGAAGAAAAACTAATTAGACAGTCAATTGACTTTAAAGCCATGACCGTGAGCGTTTCGATTTCACAGCAGACTATTTTCGTTAGTGGCCTGGAGGCTACCACTGAGAACGTTCACGTTAAAGTACTCGACTGTGATACAATAAGCCAAGTAAAAGAAAAATGCTTAGACGCTATTTATCGCGCTACTCCATATTCGCAAAGACCAAGTCGTGACGAGCTTGATTTGGAATGGCGTACGGGTACTGCCGGTAGATTAATTCTCTATGATGAAGATTCAACTACAAAATGCGAGGGCGAATGGCGTAAGCTTAACACTCTTAATCATTATCGCGTACCAGATGGTGCATGTCTTAGTTTAGTCGCAAAACAAAGTTCCGTCTACAATCTATCTAATATGGAGAAGAATGATAAGTCGCACACGTATGAAACTCTAAATCGTGGTAAATACGGTTCAGCCAGTCCGCCGGCTAGTCCGCTCAAATATGAACACGGAGGCGGTTTTAAATACTGGCATCTAGTTAGGCATCATGACGGTGATGCTCATAAAGAAGGCGAACGTGGTAATAAAATGGTCTCAGAAATATATCTTACACGGCTTTTGGCCACAAAAGGTACACTGCAAAAGTTTGTTGATGATTTATTTGAGACTATTTTCAGTACAGCGCACCGCGGCTCCGCGTTACCTCTTGCTATAAAGTACATGTTCGATTTTCTTGACGATCAAGCTCTTCAACATGCGATCTCCGACCCTGAAGTGGTGCATACTTGGAAGAGTAATTCCCTTCCGCTGCGCTTCTGGGTGAATCTTATTAAAAATCCTAACTTTGTATTCGATGTGCATAAGTCTAATACAGTAGATTCTTGCTTATCAGTTATTGCGCAAACATTCATGGACTCGTGTTCGACATCCGACCACATCCTAGGCAAAGATTCGCCTTCATCCAAACTTCTGTACGCGAAAGATATACCAGTTTACAAAGAGTGGGTGGAACGTTATTACGCGGACATAAAGTTGATGCCGGCAATATCTGACCAGGACATGAACGCTATGTTAGCGGAGGAGTCGCGCCTCCACACGAAGGAATTTAATACGAACTGCGCGCTTAACGAGCTGTATGCGTATGCGGTGAAATACAACGAGCAGCTAATGGTGACGCTCGAGGAGGACGAGTTCTCGCAGAAGCAGCGTCTCGCGTACCGTCTCGAACAGGTGCACAGCCTCATGGCACACGACTATAATATGTGATCCGCTCGCCACGAGGCTCGTGATGCCGACCCCACCGCCCTGTATATAAAGCCCCCGCACATATCTACGCAGGCAACATTTGTATATATTAGATAGTGTACAGACTTTAATATTGTAATTTTTGTATAATTTCAGCGGTCCGATGTCGTTTTTTAATTTTATATAAATGAACTTTGTATTAATTTTACACGACGAACTCGGCCGGCCGCGGTCGTGCCACAGTATGCAACGTAAATTTAAAAATGTGTATGTCTGTCTATGTGTGCTCGCGTCGTACGAGTTAATGTTACGTCGATCGGTGTAAAATGTGTGTTGCAATCGCATTGTAAGCTCGCCGGCGAGCGATCAGTTCTCTCGCCGACGGGTGATTTTTAAATTTGTACTCGCAGTCTACTTAAAAGTAACCGCCAAGTCGGTAAATAAATTCCATTATTAAATAATAATCGTCGAATTGTGTTCGGTGTATTTATTTGAACGCAGCGCAGCGTCATTGTCCATGTCCACGCAAACGAAAGCCACGGCGTCTCGGCAGGTGTCGGCAGGGAGAACGCGGTACGGTGCCGTCTCGCCATACGCTCGCACGCGGAGCCCTCGGCCGCGCCGCTTGGGCGTCGAGCGCGTCGTCTGTCATGTCGCCCCATGTGTTTGTGGCCGTCGCCCGGCGCCGAGGGTGCCGCGGGCGCGGCGTATGGTGAGACGGTCAAAGATGAACCGACGCGGCCCTGCTGTTTCAGCCGGTACGTGCGGATCGTGGCGCGAACGACATTCGCGGTCGTGAACAACATATACTGCATCCCCGCTTATGTGGTGTGGATGATGGCGCTGCGCCTCGTCAGACCCTTGTTCACCTCACTGTACTGGAAGATCGAAGGCCTCATGTACCACTGGCTGTTGGCGATGGTGTCTCTATGGTCCTGGACAGCTGGATATGAAAGTAAGTCTATTATAATTATTCAAACGGCGCGTCATGTTCAGCCTATAATAGTCTACAGAACTGGACGTGGTAAATAGCATGTCTACATGTGAACAGCATAATTGATCTATTGTACTGTGTTACAATTCAGATTACGTTTAAGATACGCAAAGCAATGAGTGAGTAATTTACCTCTATGGTCGACTTTTACCATTGTCCATTATTATTCGAGTTGTTCCGTATATGAATGAATCTTATCTACGTGAATTAAGCATGGCGCGCCATCGGGTAATTCATTTACTTGACAAAATGAAATTACGATGCTATACAAATCACGAGTGGCACATGTTTTTATACTATTTCATTTATTATGCGTATGATATTGTCACGAAACTATATAACACAATACAATATCGTTGGCGTAGTTATATCGAATTTATATTCATTGTACATATATATCGTCTAAGATATTTACAAGAGCTCTCTAGTAGATTAAAATCATGGACAAGAAAAAAGACTCGGCGCCACCTAATACATACGCGGGAAGCTCTCGTACTGTGAAGTAAATATGTGTGCGTCACGTATTTGTATACAGGAAAGTAATAACTATTAGGAAATACATAACGTAAAGCGGAAATGGAGGGTTGCAGGTAACAGAGGAGAGCTAGACTACTCTATTATGAATAGAGGGATCGTATATATTTGTCTAAGGGGCAAACACAGTGAACTGGCATTCATACATGGGAGCTACCTTGTCTCTTTGTTTACCCCAAAAGGGACGTGATATTAAGGTTAATATGCAGTAAAATTCGGGGCCAGCCAACTTATTATGATACATGTAAGAGACCGTTGGATTTTTTATTATCTTTTAAATTAGCGGCGTCAAGTCATTTCGTCCGACTTCTTTAAATATGAATTCGATTGACTAATTTGCCAATTGATAGGTGATTGGCCCTAGTGATCATAAGCCAAATCATGTAGTTCGAAATATATTACATGTTGAAGATGTAATATGTTGCAATCATCAATACTACAAGATATCCAGTCAAGCGTCAAAAACCACAACGAATATCTCCTTGTAACATTCTTCGTTCTTATTTTCAAGTTGTTTCTTTTATTATACTTACCTTATTAAGCTTTTTTCTAAGTTAATTATTTTTGTAGTGTTCTTTCTAAGAACTTCAAAATCGAAAAGTCTTAATTTGCTCGTGTTCTTTAGAAGTGTGTGTTATGCTGTTCGTCTACTCTGAACCGATTTTCATAGTTTTTCGCAATAAATAGGATTTTGTTCTTATTCTGGTTTCATATTAATCCTTTGTATGCATGGGATTTGGCGTGAAGATAAATCAATAGATTAATTTTGTCAGAACTTATAGATAGATAGATAATTTATTTGCATCACTTACAGCAAAAGATACAAAAGCAAAGTGAAAAAAGATAAAAAAGATACATGTACAAAAGATTAAAAAAGAAACCAAAAACAAATCAGAATGCATAAAATTAGTAAAAATTTTTTTTCTTTATGCGTGTGCCACAGTAATACAAAATGGCCACAACTCAGCTTTTTGCTTTGCCCTAAAAAGAGCAAAACACTGATATTCTGTTGTGGCCAAAAGTGAGCCGCGAAATACCATTACTATACTGAAGTTGTTGTCTTTTTTGCTGAACAGAAAATTTAAATTTATCTATTAGTATAGTTAAACGATGATCACATTCGAGTTTTTGTTCATGAGACGTTAATTACTTAGTATAAATGTACGAATCATTAACATAAAAATATTGTAAACTGCATCTTTTGTTTTGAATCATACTAAAGTTATGAATAATTGTTTAATATTCTTAGGCAGTATATTTATATAAACGTCATCTTACGTTAAGTTCATATTGTAGTTCTTGTCTTGGAATTTGTAGTGATCAATTTCGCAATTGAAAAAGGAAAACCTAATATCTACTGGTGTAATTAAATATTAGATTGGGACTGGTAATAATCAAATTAAAACTAACAAGTTAACTCTATCAATTTTACTGGCTGACTAAACAATGATGTCAATAGTGACAAGCGTATCACCGTTATTTAATGTTTCTTTGTTCCAAAAACAGTCAAAGGTCGTTCTAAACAATTATGTTCGCATCCTGTACGAAGAGTTGGCTGGCTTCATTAGAATTCCGAATGATAACACATTCGGTGTCAATGATACTATATAATTTTGTATGGTTAGTCAATACACTCGTATTATTCTGAATGCAGATATTAAAGTTATATCTACAATTAATCTTTAAAACCAATTGGATATTTTACATCAGATTTTACTTAGCTTTAAATGTTAATCAGATGCTTAATTAATGTTGAAATCTGGAATGTAGATCCTTTTGTGGTCATTGGTGATCGAGTAGCGTCTACTTGCAACTTGAATTTTTAAGCTAGGTATAAAGTGTTCAGGATCATAAATAAGCGTATAGAAATGTACGTAAGTTATTTTAAATCTTTATTAAATTCTTAGAAGATATCTCGGTGATAGAAATATGAAGACTTGGAGGAGGATTCTAGAAAAGGTAAGGAAGTAATGTTCCAACAGCAACATAAAAATGGTAGGAATGACAAAGGTTTTTATCCACTAGTGGAATATTTAAGGCTAAATAGAATTAAAGGAAAAACAAGTCAAAATATAGCGATAGTAGGTGTTAGTGAAACGAATAGGCTAACAATTTCATTGTGACATCAAATTTATTAAAATTTTGTTTAGTTTCTGTCATCGAAGTCGTGCGGTTTTTAGTTTTTTTTTTTTTTTTTTTGCATGACCTTTAATTATTTTCTAAGAAAGTTGTTCAGTGTCATAAATACTGTCGCTATATTTTGAATTAAGTTTCCTCTGCATTTTGTTAGTACGATCAAACATGTGTTAGCTACGCATATTCACATGACGTCATACAGCGATGACTCTGTAAACTCACATGGTGTTTAGGTAGGCAAGGTAAATGTGACTCAGAACATGATATCACTTTATCAGTATTTTCCGGCACGACAACAATTGATAAGGCCACTTAATTGTTGTCTAATCAGGTTATTCCGTCTAATTTTACTGTTGAATCAATATTGAAGATAATGCTCGACATGTCGTGTCATGTATGTGATATTTGAAAATTGTTTCCTTATATGCGACATTTAAAGGAAAGCTAGGTATGGAAATGTAGTCAAGAATATGCTCTTTGGTACAGCGTCGACTGAAGATGGATAAGTAATTTACTTGTCCCGACAAGAGGAAACTTAATTGCAAAGGAAAATATGCGTTATTAATCTATACATATATATATTAGGTAATAAAACTAACAAACTTACTGTATTAAATATGTATAGTGGAGATGATGGTTATAAATTCAGACATCAAATGTTTGTCTGTGCGCAACGTTCAGTCTTAAGGTGTGGTCATTCTTAAATTCCTAAATTTAACAGATTGATGGAATTTTCTTAATTTGAACTTTATTTTTAATCTTTACATCATGTTGGTCAGCCACAAAGACGACCAACATGATGTGGGGACTAACTCCAAGTTGAACTCCTTTCAATTATCATCATCATCATATCAGCCTTTAACTATCTACTGCTGAACATAAGCCTCCCCCTAGGGGGTTTGACGGTAGTTGCCACGCTTGACAAGCCGGATTGGCAAACGCAGATAGGCATTGGAAATGTTTTAAGAGGAACGCTGCTGCCCATCCCTCGCCCTCCCTTAGTCGTCTCTTACGACACCCATGGAAGAGGAAGGGGTGGCCTATTCTATGCTGGGACCACACGGCGAGGAAAAGTAATTATTCGTATCAAAATCTGTTTCAATTCTGACATTTGTCTTATAAATTGTATAGGTGAAGGTGTAGTTGACCATGTATTATATAGTTACTAGTCAGACATTATCTATGCAGTAATCATATAATAGCGAAACCGCTTATTCTACTGCGGTAATAATCAGTAAAAGTAGCTTGGGGTACCCGTCTGACGACAAGAAAACGCATTACGCCAATCTTATTTGCAGATAACATCCTATTGCGTAGCACATATCAAATCAGATTACCAATGTAATGGATTTTGTGCACGGAACTCGTCAATGGAACATTGCTTTCGAAATGTACCGACCGGGACCGGCTCGCCGTATTGACCTTATGCGACTGCGTAGTTTATGCGCGAAGCGCGAACGGCTGAGGACGGTCGATGACCGCCTCCGTCCTCTCCCTCCTCTCCCAGCCGCGCTAGGAATGCCCCCCGAGCCTCCACTCGTCACGTCACATTGCATTTTCGAGTGGCGAATTTGCATGTAGGTTGCCCGCTTTATAAATGCGATTGCTCCGATATTTGTGCGTAGTGAAAGCATGTCGTGAAAGTTTAAAATAATTTTTTTAGTAAAACAGTATTTGGTGCTTATTCATTTGTCCATTTGCAACACCTTAGCCTAGATATTTTCGCAGTAGATTTATGAAAGAAAAGCACAACAAAAACATTCTAGTAATAAATTTTATTGGTTCTGACCAACGCAGGCGAGGGATATTTCGT